GTTCAATGTGCGCACACATCGCTCCCCCCTTCCTGCCATCACCCAACTCTTCTCAAACAATCAAAGTGCGTGGGCACAACCATCAATTCAGTGAAACACACAGGTCGGAATGGACAGAAGCTCAGCAACCAAATGAAAGGGCCCTCACCCCCCCACCCCCCCCTTCCCCTACCGCACGCCTGTCCGCGTGTCCCCTCGCAGCGCCGAGACAATCTACCGCATCGCGCAACGTACGTCTTCATTCAAGCTCCGGGTGGCGAGAGCGAGAAGAACCCAGATCTCTGGGTGCAGAAAAGAACGATGATCAAGGACTACTGCCCAGGCCTGTTAGATCCCAGCACAGGTGCACCTGGCCTGGCGGGGGGGGCGTAGAGAGTAGGGGTAAAGGAGACAGAGGCATATTACCAATCATTTTTACGGGGGAAGGTGGTAATTGACTAGGATGTTGTAGCATAGGGGAAACTTGCTCGAGTATGCGCGTCCGAGGAAATATGTCTCCATGCAGGGCCGTGAGGGGGGTAGATACGCTAATTGGCTTGAGAACCATTGCCGAAAGCTTTCCCGTGGATATTCGGATCCCGTAGAAGAGAAGCAATGGGACGGGATGCGATGTGCCTGGAACAACGGAAGGGTGGAGGTTCTCTGTATTGGTAGCGCTAGGTTCCGCGACAAGCCGAGGAAGCCGTTCAGGCGAGGTAATGAACCGATATACGAATCAGCACGACCACAGCATCACCGCAACGATAACAACAACAGCGACAACAGTTTCAACAACAACCATTACTCACGTTAAAATACAAAGCCCGACCAAGACCTGCCGCGCCCGCGAATCGCAACCATCCCTCCCGTTCGTCCCAACAGGAGGCGTGGTGGGACACGGCGAGAGCTACGAGGACAACGCGAGGCGGGAGTTGGAGGAAGAGATGGGCGTTAAGGCGACAGGGGGGACGGGGGAGGGTGGTGGGAGGGCCGAAGGCGAGCTCCGGCATTGCTTCTCGTTCCACTACAAGGACGACCACACCAACGTTTGGGGGGACGCGTGGGACTGTGTATGGGGAGGGGAGATCGTCCCTCAGCCGGTGGGTGTGCGTACTCTCATGTTTTGCACGCCTTGCCGGTTATAGACCATTGACCACGCGTCCTCGAGAAGCCGGATCATTGTTTCCACAGGAACCGATCACCACTCGTTCCTTCCTACTTTTCCCCAGGGTGGCTAAAAAAACTATACCTTTCCCATCGATATCACTTCCCGACTTTTTTTAGCCCACTTCCTATGCCCCAGTACATAGCTACCTGTTGCTGACGAATTTCATTTCGATGAGCCATGGCGACGACGAGTACGTCTTCTTGCTGCGTGCCTTTGCCACGCTGTAGACCTTCGTTGTGATGTTGGAGGCGACACCACTGCTGCTAGCGTGTTTGTCGTCGTGGGTGGTGGGCTTGGATTGGAACGTTCAACAGTCGGGTTTTACTGGCGGACGCTGTCGACAGCCCTGTGGTGTATGTATACCTATCGGTGGGTTTTCCTGCGGCTTTTTCTTGTTCGCGCGACACTTCTTTCGGGAAGGCCACGAAGCGTCCTGGCGGTGGGCCGAGGCCGATGTGTTTTTGTGGACAACACTTTTGCCTCTGCCTTTCCCCGCTCTGTCCACCCCGCAGGAGGAAGTGCAGAGCGTTCACCGCTACTCGCTGTCGGAGCTCATCGCCGGCCGGGATAAGGCGGGCGAGAAGCTTGAGTCCACGCCCGACGGGGTGATCGCTCTGGAGAAGTACCGGGATTGGCTCGCGGAAACGAAGGAGAAGTAGGAAGGTGTTTCTTCGTTGTGGGTGGCATGCTTCTTTCGCCCCTCATTCTTGGTCTCGGTCTTTCTACATACATACCGGGGTCCCGTCGCCTGGTATCGGTCCCTGCCCAGTGCTGTTTTCGATGTTTGGTTCTTCGCTACGAAACGCACTGCTGACTTTCTCGACCCGGGTACAACGGATAAAAGGGTCAATTTCCACACACCCACTCCCCCACCCCGTTTTCTACCTGCCTAAGCATGACCATGCGTCAAGTGTGAAGAATTAGTCGCCAACTGTATGGTGATAGATGCTATTTCGTGAGGATGCGATAGTCGTTGTCTCGTGGGACCAGTATTTTCAATTGTGTCGATGATTTGGAAGAACAAGAGAGGCCTTTATCCACCACGCGACCGGCCCAAAAAAACAGGGCGTCCTTTCGCGGATATGGTTCGTTCTTTCCACGAAGAAAGGTGGTGGTCGATTCTGGCTGGCAGAAAGAAGAGCTAAGTGGGTCGGGTGTTGTTTAATGCGACAGAATCGTGATCCACGGTGTGAATAGTAGGTGTTTCGCATTTTCTGTGAGACATAACGCGGCATTATCGAGAGGTGGGTGGATCGGCGAGAGTTGGAACGCATCCTCTTCGTGCTTTTGACGATACTTGAAATACTTTGTTGCTTGTTGGTGGAGGAGATATGGTAAGGTATTTGGTAGCGCCCACCGAGAAGAAAGCTTTTGTTGAAATTCAATGCACTAAAGAGTACACAGAGTAGGGTTTGATACTTCTGTGTTATTTGTCCTGAGCGGCAAGTTGTGGTAGCATCACGCGACCCGTTTCGTGTGTCTACCTTACGCTGGCACTTTTGTCTTGGTTTGATGGGGTTGATTTCGTGGCAGGAGGTGGAAGCCGTGGAGAGACTCTCGCGCCACAAGTAAGTTGATTTCGTTGCGAGAGGCGGGATAGTCTAAGCGTTGAAAAAAAATGCGTTACATTATCGTGGTGGTGGCACATGTAGTCTCTTACAGCCGTGATGAAGTCGCGGCTATGTACCCTCGCAAACATGCAGTCTACACGGTAGTTGTCGTTTCGACACTGACAATTTGTCCAACTGTACTGAAAATGAAGCCAAGCCTCTGTGTTGTTCCCGCCATCCGTCTCTGCTGGAAAATACACACGTACGTGTCGGGTGCACACATGTGATTTTGACATGTATCTTCGAAACCTGTGAGGTGGGGTTGACTTCGTGTCGATGTTTTTGTAGGAGAGTTCTGTGTGCTTTGTATCAGCCTCCCGTGGAGAGTGTCAACCGCTGAGCAACCCCGATCGCGCAACAGCAGTATTTGCCGTCAAGCGAGAGCCCGAACCCGGAGCGTTTTTTTTTTTTTTTTTTGCTTAACTATCATAGAAAAGAGTCTGAGACAGATTTCTTTAGCAATGAATTCATAGCGAGCGTCAGAAAGTACCTGTATGTCTACGATTTCCCAGACAGCATATAGGGACATCTCCCCTGCGGGTAACAGGCTCAACAAGACAGTTTGGTAGCTGTCTTGTGGTCTCATATATGTTATGTTGGGATTGTGCAGATGATATGTGTTAGGTACTGGTCGGGCGTTTTGTGTGTGGCCCTTTTAGTCGTAGGGCATGCAATCTCCCTCAGCTTTCAAACGTATTTTCAATGTGGTACGCGTATGTACCGGGTATGTATATGTGTGGACATGTGGACATATTCTATGTGCGGACACACTCTGTCCTCCACCAAAAATGGAAGGGGAGGCAAAAAGAAGACAAGCGGGGACGCCCAACCCCCAACCCCGGTTTGGCGGGACTGTCAGTTCTCTTCTTTGTGTGTGTGCCGCGTGCCGGTATCTGCGCCGCTCTCGCACAGCAGTACAACCCCCACAAGCACCTCATATCGCTTGTTCTTTTGTCGTGGCACGCATACTGCTTTCGGTCCAGCAAGTCGTTGTGAAGTTCGGTGAGTGGTGTTGACGATGGCGGCAGAGGCGAATCTTGCTGCCAGCATTCATTCGTTGTAGGTTGCACATGTGTACGATACGACTCTATGCGACGCCCAGAACAGCTCTGTGAACAGCCATGCACATCTCCTTGTCTGATGGGCCCGCACGAGCAGCTCTTGCAAAGCCGCCTACCCGTCGAAATTGATCACTGCGATTGATCACTGCGAAACGCTTCCTTCAGCCAGGGACCGCCCGTGCCAGCGGAGTCTTGAATGCGGATTGCAAGAAGCAGTAGTGCTAAAGTTGTACCGCCGGCAAGCAGCAGCAGTGAGCTCCGACTACACACAGCAGTCGTCCTGTAGCACCTGAAAGCAGCGTGAAAGCGGCATTTCGTCGCCTCTGTATGCCTTGTGCTGTGGTCGACCATCCGTAGCGGCACTGTAAGTGTACGAAAGCTTTTTCTTATTTTCCCACCGCACACACTGCTGTCATCTCGCGACGTCTCCTACTTTTAGAGACAGCCTACACACACCTCAGCTAGACTACATATTGTAGTGCCAGGGTAAATAGGTGTTTGGCAAGCCAGTTTTCGCACCCTCAAGGACTGCAGCTGCAACAGAGTAGAAGTGCAGGGTGTTACAAACTGGTGGGCCTCTCAAGATCCCCTTGCATCGTGCGGTTCTGGTATCCACCATCTGGTGCAGGGATGCACCTGGCCAATAGGCTTCGCCCGTTGGGATCCCGCGTCCCCTACTTCGAAGTACAATGTTATGTAGACTTCAGTCAAGACTTTTCTCGCGCCGCGCCTCACACGTTGCTTGTAGATGTAGATGCAACTGGTTTATGCCATCACCCTCTCGTTTGTTGTCTCTCTCCCCCCCCCCATCCCTCCCTCCTTCCCTCCCTCCCTCCCTCCCTCCCTCCCGTGCCTAAAGGAATCTCTTTTGTTAGGGGGAAGGGGGGGGGAGTGAAATGCTAGCGGTGCGAAGGTCCTCTGGTGCCGGTGGTGGTACGAACACTTGTCGACGATGGTTTGCAAGAAGCCCAGCACCGAGAACGCTCTCCCGCCTCACTTGGCATGGGCGAAAGTGCGATACACCCGCCGTTGCCGCAGTCTCGGCAACGGCTCGACCGGCAGCGGCGGCATCAGGCAGGTTTCTGGCCGGCGGAGACGATTTCCGCAGCAACGGCTTTAGGAGGAGGAACGCTCACTCCGTGGCAACAACGAGCCGGCAGCCGCAGCGGCAGCAGCGCATTTCATCGTGGTTGTCGCCATCGTCATCTTCGTTGCTCGCGACTGCCGCGAGGCAAGGGACCGGGAGGCGTTCTTTTGCGACAGGGTGAGGTGCCCGGCGGTTACACGACACCTACAGTACCTTTGTAACGGGGTTCTTGTCGTCGATGCAGTCGTTCTACACCACAAAACAAACAGACGTTATGACAACTTTGGTTTTCGTGCGTCTGGTTCTGTGTGTAGAAAAAGCTCGCCAGAAGAACGGAAATGTATGTTCCAAGCACCACCGTCTCTTGCTCTCTCTCTCTCTCCTCCCTCTCTGCCCCGGTCTCCGGAACAGCGAAGTGTTCAGTTCTCGAGGAAGTTTCGTTTGTAAATAATGGTTGCTAGATCGTTTTTTTCATTCCGTTCTTGATGTCACACAACGCTTTGTAGCGGTTCACTTTCTCTGTACCCCTGGACAATCTGTTTCTCCTTACCGGCCAGCGCCACAACAACAACAACAACCACAACAGCAACGGCTAAAGGTTTGGACATGCCCAAAATACGCCCAGAAATCAGCCGGATTTCTTCCCTACATGCTGTAAAGACTTCAACACACATCCCTTCGACTGTGATACAGCATTCTCTCCAACGGGTATAGGTCTTTCGGTGATTTTGTACGTACATTTTCTATCAATGTAGCAACAACGATCACAATTTGCTTTAAAACCGTCACCACCCTTGACGAATGTCTTCCCTCTCCCCACCCAACAACAACTCCCAGGCTCCAGGGCGTTGCTGGCGTCGGCAGTGCAAGCGAAGACCCAGCGGGAGGCGCTTTGACGCCGGGGGTGGCGGGGGTAGAGGGGCTTCACAGACCCGAGGATTTCGCCCCCCTAGCGGCGGCGGCGGTGGTGGAGTCGGACAGGCTGAGAAAGCCCATCAGGTGTGCTTGCCAGTGGCCTTCGCGAGAATGTTAAGCTTGGTTTTAGTAAGGGTGTACGGGGATAGGGTCAGGGATAGGGATACGGAACCTCCCTCTTTACATCATACCGGGGGTTACCAATAAAATACTGGTGATGGCGGTCCGTGCGTGCTGGGGGGGGAGGTGTACTTCTTTTTTTTCTTGTTTTTTTTTTGCTGAAGGAGGAATTTCCCCCCTGAACAGGGGGGTTTTGGGGGTTCAAACGGGGGGGGGGGGGGGGCGACGGCGGCAGCGACCGCTGTGTGGTATGGTCGGTACAGAGGCTGTACAATTGTTGCTGGGAAAAGTGAATTAATAAGAAGAAGCAGCTGCTTGGTTGCATCAAACAAACTACCACCCGTACCAGATTTTGAGCACAGAGATACGCGTGTCTGCGGACTACTAAACGACACACGGAAAAAACAGATTTATCCCAACCCCCCCCCAAGAAGGCGATGTTTATCATCGGGGTTGGGTTTTCGTCGCTTGGCAACGACGTTGTAAAAACAAGCCGCCCTCCCCGGTGTTTGCCATCGGGGTTGAGTTTTCGTCGCTTGGCAACGATGTTGCAAAACAAGCCGATCACTTCGTGAGCTCGGCAACCAGGTTGCCACTTTTTTTTTGCCTTAGTTTTTTTTTTGGGCGGTAACCATGAATGGTGGTCGAGTAGGTTATGTTGTGCGGGGTCGAGAACCCTCACTCCGCGCAAAGGGGATAATCGCACATTGTGTTAAATTGGCCAAGCACCCTCGAGGCAGTTACACAGCGCTTATAGCTGTCTCTGGAAGTGAAAGCACCAGAAAATAAATTAAGTCATACGCAGCTGTCATCCGTACGCAAGGAAGTAAGCACAAGATGCCGAACACCCTTAGTAGGATGCAGCGCACCCTTCATGCGACTCGCCGAATACCTCACGGCGCTTCGCGCTTGGTGATGTGCGAGCCTGGCCCGGTGAGAACCCGGCGTGCTCCGTCCCGGCTTTGTAGGGATGCGAGGTCAATGGTCCAACGACCACGGCATGCACGACTATGAGTACACCCCCCCCCCCCCCCTGCTCCTCTTTTCATCTGACTACACGGAACCGCCCCCGGCTCGATTTCTGTTCCCAAAGCACTGGGGAGGTTTCCACACCCTTGGGGATCCTTCGAGGGGTTGACGCCATCAGCAACACGGTGTGCTCGGTCATCGATGCCGCGGACTTCGTGAGGAACGCCCACGCCGACGAAGGTTTTCGAGTTGCGGCGGACGAGGCGTTCTCGGTGCTGGCGGAGTACATCCAGGTACCACTGTATAGTGGCATGCGCATGCACGCCCCCCCCCTTTGGTTTGTTGTTGGATCGAGATTTTCCGTGTTTTTTTTTGTGTGCTGTTTTGTTTCATGCCAC